TGCGGCTTTGATAAAACCATCAATCTACGACATGGCTCCGCAACATCATAACGTTGACTGTGGAGATAAGCTGAACTATGAAATAATCGTCATAAAAGAATAGTAAGTTACTTCCACACTTGGTATCACAAAAATATAAGTATAAATATTCTTATTGAAAAGTAATTTTTAATTCTCACGTCCTTAAAGTTCAACCTTGCCGATGAGAATACGGAAAGTCCWACGTCTTGCTGTCTTATATCTCAGTCATACGTCAATCGTGTCTGGTCCTGCGTTTTTAAGCAGGTATCAAAGAAGCTGTTTAAACTTTAGCAAGAAGTAAGACTTTCGGTATTTCTTCGGCAAGGTCGAACTTGAAGGACTTACTATACTTTATGAATATTATTTAAATAGTTGCTGGTTGAATGAGGGCTTCTGGATATCTTACAACGGTCCAGTACTTGCCATTCTTTTGGTAAGTCCACACTAAATTATTTCTTATTTTGTCGATCAATGATAAATTGCTCCGAAAACTCGGTTAAATTCCAACAAGGATTCATCCATATGCATATTATTAATTTGTTGCCATTCTTGCGGCTGGGAACTTATAAATGGTGACTCAATCAATCTTTTTGCTGTCTAGATCAATTCGATTCTCTACATTGTGTTTCTTCGTATCGCCTTTGGAAAAATTGCGTCAAGATTTGGAAACCATGCCATTCAAAAAGCAAGGTGTTCTTCTTGTTCTTCTTGTTCTTCTTGTTCTTCTTGTTCTTCTTGTTCTTCTTGTTCTTCTTGTTCTTCTTGTTCTTCTTGTTCTTCTTGTTCTTCTTGTTCTTCTTGTTCTTCTTGTTCTTCTTGTTCTTCTTGTTTTCATGAATATTTCTCATGCACAGAAAAAGATTCAAAAGTGTTGCCGCCCTTCTGCCTGTCCTTGGTATTGCATGGTTGCTTGGGTTTGTTGCCAGTACTCATTGGATTGTTCTCTATATATCAATTATTGTCAACTCATCACAGGTGACATTCTGCCTTATTCTAAACAAAATTTGTTTACTTAATAAACATACTTATGTAATAATACTAAAATGTACATTTGCTAGGGCATCTTCTTGAGTGTGTTTCATTGTCTTATGGATGACAAGGTACAAAGCATTATTGAACCGTTTYCGGATGAACATTAGTATGATACTAAGCCATATTTTGCAACTGTATCTGTTGAACCCAATTTATATTTGTGAGATTCATTGTGCATTTTCTAGCAACATATATCGCATATGGTAGCCATATGACCAAGGGTGGCCCAGACAATATATCAGTGTTGCTTTTTAGAAATGAACATATTATTTTGAAGTTAATTTGTAGCATGTGTGCTGTGCTTCCTGGACAGTTAAYATCTGCTTTGGAATATATTTTGAATAAAAWAAATATGTTTTTGACTTTTGGAAAGTTAACCCTTTAACGTCCGCGATTTATTTTTGGTTGTTTTTGAAACTTATATTTCAAAAAATTAAATGTACCATATAAGGAGTTGTCAATCAAACTATTGTAGATTCACAGTCCTCTGATAATCCCTAAAGCGGACGTTAAAGGGTTAAAGTACTTTAGGCTTTAGTACGTAAAAACATGCTGGAGCACTATTCACGGCAGATATCTATTTCATAATRTCTGTTGAACTCTTCCAGATATTGTTCAGAACGAGCAAATCAACGTGTTGGTCATTTTCAAATTCACTTAGAGACTCTACCTATAGATAAATGCATGGGAGGAAGTCTTAAACAACAGGGATCACAAACGAAAATATAAGAATTGTTTAATGTGCTCAGGACCGTTTGCTTTTCAATTTAAAAACCTTTGAAACTTGATTTGTTGTAGAGGGAGTATGGAACTTCCTAGAATGTGTTTCACGGTTATGCACAGTTCACTGCACCTTCAATGGAAAGTTGAACAACTTATAAACATATAAATTTAATTACTGTAAATTGTTCAATTTACAAACAAAATGTATTTTACAAACTTTGTAAATTGTTTTTACAAGATATTTACAATGTTTGATACAGTAAAATTTACAAGATATTTACACAATATACATAAAATTATATTAAATTGCAATATTTTTACGTATTATTTACAAACTTTGTAAACTAATCAACTTTTTTATTGAATCATCCCTTCCTCTTCAAAAAAGTGTAATCCAAGAAAACCAGACCAATTATCTTAAACCAAGAAGCTTGACCCCACTTAGAAATGCCGGTTCATTCTTTACAGGTTAAAGAGTCCATAMGGGCACTCAAACAAAGGAAACGTGCTTCGTCCATTGTACCTGCTTCATCTAACGATACTCCACTAGGAGGTGGTGAGTGGTCAATTGTTATGGGCGGGRTGAGGTCAGGTTGCCACTAGAAATGAATTAAACATAAACATATATGCCGAAGAAAASAAAATATAAAGGAATTATTTTAATATCTCAGAAATAGCAGACAAGCCTTCATTTAAAACAATAGTCTCCTTCACGGTTACCTTCGCCATCTTGAAAGGTAGCCGTACCTTTGCATCGAAGCGAGACGACCGTTAAGCGTGCAATGATAGATACCTGTGAATAATTGTCTGTAGGTGTTAAAAAAGGTTTCTATCATTGCAAGCTCAACGGTCGTCTCGCTTCGATGCAAAGGCACGGCTACCTTTCAAGATGGCGCAGGGAACCGTGAAGGAGACTATTCGCTCAAAACTGCAAGCACATTTGATATCTCGTCACAAATGCAGAGCACAGGAGGCACTGAGCTGCGTAGTACTGCACTTGAAACATTTGAAGTTATATTTTGCAAAGATTTTTGAGGACAAAGTATCTGTMTTTGAGGTTTGGTACCGTCAACTTTTACCCATAATTTCCCAAAGTGCGTTTTGGTGATATTTATMACCTATGTTTTAATTCAATCAGGAGCTGMCAAGGACCATTSTCAGCTAGAGGAAAACGGAATATTTGAAATGAACAACATAGCAGAAGCAGGAGCACGCTATGTCTTTGATGGTAAGATCTAGAGTGATTTGAATCATAAAGTCTCAAATTAAGTTGTTAAGTTGTTGTTCACTTACTATGTTTCTAGCAGAGGCTTTCAAGGACAAATCTCAGTCAGAGGCAAAAGAMGTATTTGAGCAAAACAAAGTGGTACAACTAGAATCATGCCAAAATGATGATGTCGTTGATGGTAACTGAGCAACATAGTCAGACTACAGCTATTCTCTGCAAAAAAGCAAAAAGAATTAGTCAAGTATTGCCAAGCAGACGGTGTCTAGCAAACAAGAGTGAATTTCCTTTCCATATTTGTTAATCTTACCTTATTTGCAACTACATCCAGGAACTACATCCAGCACTGAAAATGTCTAAAAACTCTAGATATTGTARAAAACGAGAAATCAACATTACAGCCATGCTAAAATTTACTTAAAGACCAAGCCTCCTTACGCAAAAACCTAAGGAATCCCAAAATGAAGGGGATCTCAAACGAATGCATAGCAATTGCCGTCTTTGAATATTTTGGTTGGGCGACCATGCACAAAGTAACTGCAGACGAGAGTCTCCGGGAAATAACGGATAATCTTAATGTATTCTTTCATTTCCCCAGAGGGTCGTCTACAATTCTTTTGTGATGGTCATTCTATACACACAGTGCAATGCTGTTCTTGTCTGACAATCGTTTTTGAAAGGAGCAACATTATCTCCATTTATAGTTTGATTTGTAGAAAGAAACATCATTATATATCTATATATAATCTATACATAAAATACT